GAGTCTGTCAGTCTCCCTGAGTTGAGGCGATAGAATTGAGAGTCCAAGGAGGCCCAGGCAACTAGGGTTCATGGGGCAGAATACCAGGGGGCACAAGACTGCGGAGAAAGAACTCCAGTGACCTGCAATGAGGAAGGTATCACTACACATCTATCAGAATTGCTATAATGAAAAAATAGTGAGACTGCGAAAGCCTGGAGAGATCCAGAAAAACTGGCTCTGTCATACATTGCTGATGGGAATATAAATGGTACAATTACCCTGGAAAACAGTTTGGAAGGTTCTTAAAATACTAACTATATATTATAATACAACTTGGTAATCACACTCTGGGGTGTTTACCCCAGAGAAATGAAAACATATGTCCACACAAAAACCTGTACACAAATATTAACAGCAGTTTCATTTGCATCAGCCAAAAACTGGAAGCAGCCCAAATATCCTCCACCAAGTGAAGGGCTAAACAAACTGTAGTACATGTGTACCACGGAATACCACTCAGCAATAAAGAGGGACGATCTGCTTATACAACAACCTGGATGAATTTCAAAGGCATTATGCTGAGCGAAAAAAAAAAAAATATATCACATGGTCATGTACCGTATGACTCCATTTAGATGAGATCATATAATATGGAGAACATGGTAGTGTTCATCAGGGGTTTAGAATGGTGGGAATAAGGACACAGATGTGACTATACAGAGGTACCACCAGGGAGATCTTTTTGTAAGTGTTTTTTTTTAACTACTGTCTATACCTATGAGTGTGGGGCTCAAACTCACAACCCTGAGATCAAGAGTTGCATGCTGTACGGAATGAGCCAGCCAGGCGCCCCCACAGGGAGACCTTTGTGGTGATGAAATAGTTTTGTATCTTGATTGCAGTGGTGATTGCATGAATCTACACATAAAATAAAATGACACAGAACTATACTCACACACATTATGCTAATGTCAATTTTACACATCATGCTAATGTGTAAGATGTAATCACCAGAGGAGACAGGTGAAAGGTACGTTAGACCTGTACTATCTTTGCAGCTCCCTGTGAATCAATATTTTTTTTCAGAATAAAAACTTATTTTAAGTGTTAAGGCTCATTATAGATGTTTTACATAATAGTATAGAGAAACACACGCATGCAAACACCAGACCCCCATCTAGACAGTTATTTACACTTGGTGTATATCCTGTGGTCTTCTCCCACCCCACTCAGCCCTGTGTTGATGTTAAGTTCAACATGTCCATAAAAATTACAAGTTGAGGAGTGCCTGGCTGGCTCAGTCTATTGAGCCCCCAGCTCTTGATTTTAGCTCAGGTCATGATCTTGCAGTTCATGGGATCGGGCCCCACATCAGGCTCTGTGCTGACAGTGTGAAGCCTGTTTGGGATTCTCTCTCTCCCTCTCTCTCTCTGCCCCTCCCCCACTCATGTGCTGTCTTTCTCTCTCTCTCTCTCTCTCAAAACAAGTAAACTTTTTTTTTTTTTAATTACAAGTTGCGATGTCAGATGGTAGTTAAGTATAGTGAATATAGGAGCCTGTATTAGCAGGCGAGTCTGATGTGGAGATACACATTTGGGAGACATCAGCTTATGACCAGGTACCTAAAGTATGAGACTGAATGAGCATAAGTATCAAGAGAAGTTTGGTTTTCTACTTTGTTTTGTTTTTAAGAAAAGAAAAACAACAGCTTGTTTATTGATAATAAAGACTAAGCAGAGAGGAAAACCAATAATGCAGGAGCAAAAGGCAAGATTTGTTGGAGCAGTGGTGTTTGAGTGCTCAGACTGAAGACGAATTGCCTGGGTTTATGCGTAAACATGTGTTATTGTATCTGTGAATCACACTTCAGGAGAGTGAAAGGGACATACAACATATTTTCTATAAAAGCTTGGATCTGGAGACATGGTTGAGAACCACTGGTTTACACAAGAATTAGTAATGGTCAGGGATCTTGCTACACTGTGCACTTGGGAGCTTTTTCTTCATTCTGTGGTTGCAGCTGCTACTGCCCAGTGACAGCTGACTCGATGGATAGTGCCGCTCAGCTCTGGGCTGGATGCTCTCCAGCTATGAGGAGTTTCTTAAGATGAGACACAAAAGGGAAAGGGAACAACATTTCACTAATAAGGAATTCGACTCTGTTGTAGATCCCAGATAAACCATTGGCTTTTATCCCCAGGTTTTGGTCATGCACTTGTCCAGCAGATATACAAAAGTCCAGAGTGGGGACAGTGGGGTGGGGAGGCATTTTTCAGAGATGGACATGTTATTTGAGATGACCCAGTGTTTAAATTCTGGCATCTGTTAGGACTCCAGTGTGCTCCATCAGTTTAGCCTGACCCACCAAACACAAAGGGCTCTAGACTATTAAGGATATGCGGCAAACATCTTGAGAGTAAACACTTCCTTACGATATCATGTAATGTAATTTTTCTTACAGAAACAGTTCTGAAGGTTCTGCTCTACTCAAGGGTGGCCAGCCACGGAGGTAAGTAGAGACTGAACCTTAACTGAGCTCTGCTCAACACACCGTACAAATGGGCACAGAGCCGACTTCACCCAGAGGAACTGGCTTTTCTTCCAGCTCATACAAAGGTGTTTTTTTAGGCTTTCTAGGGATCTAAATCGAGGGCTTTTCATTTTGGTTCATTTTCACCTAGATGACCTTATATGACCCTTACAACTTCCCCAACAAGTAAGAAGAGCTAGAATTATTTCTCCTGTTTTATAATAACATTGAGGCCTTAAGATGTTAAGTGACTCACGTAAGGCCACGTAGGTAGCAGGTACCAGAACAGGAGCAGGACTCTGATCTACAGTCTCCCACCTGTTGTTCCTTCTCTCATACCATCTGTCTCGCCCCTGATGGTCTGTTCCAGTTGAGGTCCTTTCCTCATGGAACTAGAGAATAACTGGCTACCATTGATGCCCAAAACAATCTTATAAACATCCATCTAATATAAGATAGACATTTTCCATTATTAAAAATCAGTTATTACACTTATTAAAAATTGTATTAAAATTGTTATCAAATTCTTATTAAAAATTACAATTCACATTTGTAAAATGAACTCACATAAAGCTGCTCACTGTCTACAGAAATCAACCCCTCTAACCTCTGCCAAATCTTTCATTCTTATAATCTTTTCATCCCCTCGAATTGCTGCAGTTCCCCTGGTTTGGGCTTGTCTTGTTCAGTCCCTGTGTAGCCCTGGTTTCATTTGGTAGATGATCCTCTGGGGGAGTTACAGTACTATGTCTTATTCTTTCTAACTGAGTGGTTTTGGCAGTTTCTCTAATGTTGGGGGAGTTTTGTTAATAATATATGACCAATAAAACAGACCACAACCACCCTATTCTGGTGCAACAGGGACTTCCAGAACCAACAAAGTCTACAGAAAGAGCTCCCCCAAATCACACCTAACATTCTACACCTCTACTAGGAAAGATGCCAGCTCACCAACATGATGGGTTGCATTTGCAATAAAAATTATGTTATCCATTTTTATCAATCAGCATAAGAAACATTCACTGACTTCTTTAAAATAGACTTAATTATCATTAAAGACATATTGTCTAAAATTTTTTTTGAAATGGCTTTATTATCTGATTTACATGCCACAGAAACAACCAAATGTCCTTGTGAGTTGGATTATTCTTAGTCTGAAACTTCGTAAGGTTTCACATTTGAAAATTATCAGCTGTAAACTAACCACAGGCATTTTGAAGCTCTGTCACCTACAGATAGTTTTTATTTTACTCTACTGCTTGCCTGGAGGCTCTGTTATAAACTACAGACTGAAATTGTGCCTTTAATAAAGGACAGTGTCAGAGCCTCATGAAAAAGGATTTGTACCAGATACTTAAAGCTATTGACTATTTATTTATTTGTTTGTTTGTTTGTTTATTTATTTCAAGTAGGCTTCATCCCCCGTGTTAAGCCCAACACAGGGCTTGAACTCAAAACCCTGATCAAGGCCTGAGCTGGGATTAAGAGTAAGACATTTAACCGACTGAGTCATCCAGGTGCCCCTGTTGACACTTTAAAGCATAGATTCTTAAGAACAGGCTTTTGAGTTAACACCACTTAGTCAACTTTCATACCAAGCCTGTGGACTGACCCAAGATTTCCAAAACTCCTTTTAGTCAATAAGCAGACAACTTCATGAGACTGCTTACTCAAGATCTCAAGATCCAGCAGAACAAGAATTAGTTGTATGGGACTGAATGAACTGATAAGGAAAGTTTGCAGAAAAAAAAAAAAAGAAGAAGAAGAAAAAATTTGTAGTTGTTTGTATGGAATATTGTTTTGTTTTATTTTATTTTATTTTTTAATTTACATCCAAGTTAGTTAGCATATAGTACAACAGTGATTTCAGGAGTAGATTCCTTAAGCCACTTACCCATTTAGCCCATCCCACCTCCCACAACCCCCCCAGCAAACCTCTGTTTGTTCTCCATATTTAAGAGTCTCTTATGTTTTGTCCCCCTCCCTGTTTTTATATTATTTTTACTTCCCTTCCCTTATGTTCATCTGTTTTGTTTTTTAAATTCCTCATATGAGTGAAGTCATATGGTATTTGTCTTTCTCTGACTGATTAATTTCACTTAGCATAATACCCTCTAGTTCCATCCACGTAGTTGCAAATGGCAAGATTTCATTCTTTTTGATTGCCGAGTAATACTCCATTGTATATATATACCACATCTTCTTTATTCATTCATCCAAGATGGACATTTGGGCTCTTTCCATACATTGGCTATTGTTGATAGTGCTGCTATAAACATTGGGGTGCATGTGTCCCTTCGAAACAACACACCTGTATCCTGTGGATAAATGCCTAGTAGTGCAATTGCTGGGTCGTAAGGTTGTTCTATTTTTAATTTTTTGAGGAACTTCCATACTGTTTTCCAGAATGCCTGCACCAGTTTGCATTCCCACCAGCAGTGCAAAAGAGATCCTCTTTCTCCACATCCTCACCAACATCTGTTGTTGCCTGAGTTGTTGATGTTAGCCATTTTAACAGGTATGAGGTGGTATCTCATTGTGGTTTTGATTTGTATTTCCCAGATGATGAGTGATATTGAGCATTTTTTCATGTGTCGGTTGGCCATCTGGATGTCCTCTTTGGAGATGTGTCTATTCATGTCTTTTGCCCATTTCTTCACTGGATTGTTTTTGGGGTGTTGAGTTTGATAGCAAAATATTGTTTTAAAGCTTTTTTGTTGTTGTTATTTTTGAGAAGGAGAAAGAGAGAATGCACACAAGGAAGGGGGAGAGGGAGAGAGGGAAACAGAATCCCAAACAGACTCTGCACCACCAGCCAGAGCCTGATGCGGGACTCAAACTCACAAACTGTGAGATCATGACCTGTGCCGAAGTCAGACGCTTAACCAACTTGAGCCACCCAAGCAGCCCTGTTTAGAATACTGTCTTAATGTTCTACTTCAGTGTTGATGTTGTTTTGATGTTCTATTTTGAATATCAAAATAAGGCTTTTTTCTTTCTTCTTAAACTCTCTATAATCTATAACAAGTTACTAGATTCTACTTTTTAAAACTGAAACAAACATTCTTAAATGATATCTGATTCTTACTGACTCACGCACCACTGCCAAGAATTCAGGAAGTCTCCTTACCTTTTTTTAGTACGTAAGTATTTTACCAGGTCTCCTTACTTCTCATGGCAGTATAGTTATTTGCATAAGTCCAGTAAAAATTTGTCCTCCTTTTCTGGGACTCAGTTGGGTAAGCATCCTACTTCAGCTCAGGTCATGAACTCACAGTTCATGTGTTCAAGCCCCAGGTAGGGCTCTGTGTTGACAGCTTAGAGCCTGAAGCCTGCTTTGGATTCTGTGTCTCCCTCTCTCTCTGCCTGTCTCCCACTTGTACACTCTCTCTCTCTCTCTCTCAAAAATAAGTAAACATTAAAAAAAAAATTTTTTTTTAAGAATTTGTCCTCCTTTTTACCAAAATATAATAGAAAAATCAGTTATGCAACCAAGTTCTTGCCCAGATGTCATTTTTGAGAATGATCCTTGTTTAATCCAGTATGATGAACTAATGTCTACAAAGTCATCTCAGGAAAACTTGTGTAGTACCTGGTTTACAGGGTCCCAGTTTTGCAGTAGATGAGGAAGATCTCTTCTTGTCAGGCCAGGAACTTTAGGAAATTGTGGGGACCTTGAGAAGAAAGGAATTCACCCAAATTTATGGGTACAATGGGTGAAACCTAGTGGAAAGGGTTTCTTGGGCTTGGTTTTTCTAAACCGAAGGTAGCAAACAGTAGAGGCTTTTAAAAGTCCAATCTGAGATTCTGAAGGAAACTTCCAGAAAAAAGTAAATTTTGTGGCCTAGTCAATAATAGTATGGCTCTAGATTTACAAAGCAGATTAAGAAGACCTATGTGGTAAATGAACACTCTTTCTGCAAGTGTATAAATAATCAGACGAAACCAACAGTATTGCCCCTTACTTTTTTTCTTTCCCACTGAACTGAGAGTTTCTTAACTTCTCTCTTACCCTCAGTGCCTAGCACAGTGTTTGGCATGAAGAAGGTAGTCAACATTATTTATTGGAAGAATAAAAATCAGGTTATGGAATTGTATTTGTGCCTGATTCCGCCCACGAGGCAGTGATGGAGGGTTGGGGAGGTAGGGCAGGGGCCTGAGCCCACCAAGTATGGTGTCCTCTGCCCACTTCCAGCTGTAACTTGGGGGAGGGGTAGCATCCATTAAAAATAAACTCATAATTAGCTTCAAAAATACTCCCGGAATAAATGAACACATAAGTAAAAATAATAAAATAGGGAGGAGAGATGAAACAAGATGGGCAAAATGTTGATTATCGTTGAGTTGCAGGTGGTGGGCACTTGGGGATTAATTATACCCTTCTCTCCCACTTCAATGCAGGTTTGAAGTTTTCCACACTAAAAAGTTTTTAAAAATCGCCTTGGAGGAGAAGAAAATTACACAAAGTAAGTCTGAGGGCTCTGTGAGAAATGGAAATGAGGGATGAGTGAGTTCGGGCAGTTTCTTGGTTTTGTTTTTGGATTTTTGCATCCACTAATTCAAACCACTCCCTGACCCACTTTTGCCTTCCTCTTCTGGCTATCCACTCCTGGGACATTTGCAGAACACCAGAGGTTTCCTGGAAGAGTGAGCATAGGGAGGGAAGTGCTCAAGTAGATTATTTCAGCACTGAATGCTGGCAAACCTCCCACACACTGGTCTTTCAGCTGAGCCACGCCAGATCTGAGACTGGGCAGCAGCCAGATATTGCCATGAGTAGAATGGGAATGGAATGTTCTCAGGGCTTAAGAGGGGGCAGAAGAGGGGGGTACATATGTCTGAATCAATGCTGGAGACCAGAGAAGAGACACCAAGAAAGTGGGAAGCACTGTGCCCTCTGTTTGTCATTCCCTCCCCCAACAGTGACACTGGAGGAAATCAGGATCAAATGTAGTCAATCTGGCCCCAGGAGAGAGGAAGCTGGACAAAAAAATGAGCATTGTTCATTTGTGTTAGACTACAAATGCTCTTTCAGATTATCTTCAGGTCAACATGGCTGCATGTGGGGCCAGTTATTGGGAAACACAGGGTAAAACTCACCTCATGACACCTTATGACTCTTGAGATTTCTTTCCATTACATTCCAACAAAATTCTCTCCTACTAGCTTGTCATACTGTGTAAGATTCCACTGTTTGAGATTCATTTCTTTAACATTCATCTCCTTCCCCTGCCTTTTTTTTTTAAACAAAATTACTCCCAAAATGCTTGACACATTCAATTGGGCTTGCAGTCAATATCAACTTAGTGTGATTCCTTGTAACAAAATGCGTTGTCTCTGAGAAATAATAGCTAGCATATGAGGTGCTAAGTACCAGAGAATTGTGTCAAGCGCTCTATTTACATTTTCTCATCTAGCACTGTGAGGTAAATGATACTATAGCTCCATTTTATAAATGTGGAAAGAAGGCTTTAGGAACTTTCAGTAAAATGACTAAGTGACAAGGGCAGCATTTGAACTCAGACCAGTATGACTAAAAATCTCTGTTCTTAGGGCACCTGGGTGGCTTAGTCAGTTGAGTGTCCGACTTTGGCTCAGGTCATGATCTCACAGGTCATGAATTCAAACCCCACGTCAGGCTCTGTACTGACAGCTCAGAGCCTAGAGCCTGCTTTGGATTCTGTGTCTCCCCCTCTCTCTGCTCCTTCCTTGCTCGTGCTCTGTCTCTCTCTTTCTCAAAAATAAATAAACATTTAAAAAAATTAAAAATCTCTGCTCTAGGAAGCCAAGTATGGAAATAGACTGTCAGGTTGGGGGGATTCTTGACAATCCCTGAGGTGCATGATGGTACTAGACACTGGGAGTGAGAAGGAAAGAGCACTAATAAAGAAATGTGTGAGTGTGTGTGTGTGTGTGTGTGTGTGTGTGTGTGTCTTCTGGAGTGGAAATTAACCACTTGTGAAATGGTTGATAGGTAATAACAACTCTTTTAGCATGTCCACAAAATACTGAAAGAATGAACTTCACAGAGAAAGAACCAAACTTTCAACAATTGTCATCATGTGATATTTCAACCTGAGGTAGTTGTCAAACAAGCTTTAGTGGAACCCCATTTAACTCAATTAGCAAAAAGCCTCTGAAGTCAAAAGAAGACATACCAGCTAAACTGGTGGCTTCTAATCTTTTAATCACAAGGACAATTTATTATTCCCAGCCGTTTTGAGTTCCTACAAGTAATATTATAACATGTAGCATTGTAACATTAAATTGCAATTATTTCTCCTGCTTAGACCGAGATTAGATAACAAAGGCATCCGGAAAGGCTGGATGGCCACCGGAAAGGCTGGATGGCCACCAGAAAGGACTTCCGGAGGTGGAAGCAGTACAATTACCCGAGCCCCCTTGGGTCCTGTCCTCAACTCACACATCCACACATGATTTTGTCTGTACGTCTGGGGCTTTTCCATCTCACAGGATTGACTCATACGAACCACTCCCAAAATAAAACTATAAACAAGAGCTGCACTGAAAAATACATACAGTGGGAAATAAACCACCGATGACTTAAGAGAGAGATCAAATAGTGAACGGATATTTGCTGAGTAAGCAGGAGTGGTGAGCAGTTTTGGGGTTCAGTCAGGCCAGGATGAGGATAAGGAAACATTTCTGACTCCAAATTAAGCACTAAACCAGCATCTTAACCCTGAGATGTGGCTTATAGAGAAGCAATTCCCCAAATGTAGAATTTCTCTTTCTAATCTCCAAGCTCCCCCCAATCTCCTTCTTACAATATATCTGCACGCTTGTTGGTTTGTATCCTTTTATACTTTACCTTGCTTCAAGAAAAGATTAAAGACAGCTTGCAAAACTATCTACAATGAATGATAACACAACTCAAATTTAGGGAAAAGGAAAGAGGAAGAATACAGCTTTATGGATTAAACTTTAGTTGTGAGGATGCTAAAGTCACTATACTTGCCTAAGCCTGCATTTTGGTCCCCAAAAGCTGGAGTCTGTGGGTTCTTAGTCCATCCCATTGACAGATTAGGAGTTTGGGTAGATTAGGAGTTTGATTTTACAAATGGTGGTTACTATTTACCAAATGCTGATCTGACATGATGTAATTCGCAGACAGTACAAAACATTTTTAGTTTTGAGATTTTGCTATTATATTTATGAATCACAATTTAATTTTCTAATTTATATTAATGAAAAAAACTTACCAGAGTTTTTAATAAGAAGGAGATAACCAGGGTTGTCTCAATGGGTTGATACAATTCAAATAAACTTAGTTTTAGTTAGCATGTCATAGGCTTATTTACAGTAAACTTGTGGTTTTCATAAAGATTTCTAAAATGTTAAAATTAGCTCACAGACCTCAATATTTACAATCCTTCATGTAAGAAAACAATCTTGAAAGGACAAAAGACAGTCAACAATGGTATGAAAGAAGGAAAGAAAGGAAGAAGAAAGAGAAAGAAAGAAAAGAAGGATCCTAGGTCAAGAAAGTAAACACAGGTGCCCCTCAATCTGCAAATGAGATACTTTCCCAGTGCAAAGAATCATCCCATGGGAAAACAATAAAACTAAAACTTCAGAGTAAAGGGGCTTGCTTTCTCTGCATGAAACTATCTCTGGTGCCCTGGTCAAGTGATAATGATTGTTGGGGCAACTAGTGGTCCAAGGAGCAGAGGCTTTTTCCATGGGAAGCCACTACACCCTGGTAAGGTCCCCAGATGGACAAGCCAGTCCTATAGGCATGATGCTGTTATATGGCAAATTACAAAGCCCAGGACAGAAACCATGCACCAAAGAGAAACTCTGCCTTTTCTGTACTTTCTTGAAATTAGAGATCAAGTTCACTTGGGTCGGCAGACATTGGTGCAGAATTAGCATAGAAGAGGTACTCAGTAAGATTTGGTGAAGCAGAGATGAAATGAGGGAAGAGAGAATGAGAAAAAGAGGGAGAGATCCCAAAGCAAAGCTCTAGCCCACAGCCTGGAAGATGAGCTCAGGGGAAAGGAAGCATCCTAGACTCCTGGACTTCTGACAGTCTTCCCAGTTTCTATGCTCTTAGAGAGTCTCTTTCTTTCCTCCCCTAGCATACGGTTGCTTTGGCTTAGCCAGCCAGGTAAGTGATTGAAGTTCTGCCTTCAAAGATAAGACAAGTAAGAAAAGGGAAAACATTTACAATCTGTAGTAAGACATATTGATAAGTAAGACATTCAGATCTTCCTGAATTCATATTGATCTTCTCAGCTGAGATACTGTTACTATGTAGGAGAATGGGTGCCTGGGTGGCTTAGTGCCAGACTTCAGCTCAGGTCATGATCTCATGGTCCTTGAGTTTGAGCCCAGCGTCAGACTCTGTGCTGACAGCTTAGAGCCTGGAACCTGCTTTGGATTCTGTGACTCTGTCTCTCTCTGCCCCTCCCCCACTCGTGCTCTCTCTCTCTCTCTCTCTCTCTCTCCCTCTCTCTCTCAAAAATAAATTAAACATGAAAGAAAGAAAGAAAGAAAGAAAGAAAGAAAGAAAGAAAGAAAGAAAGAAAGAAAAAGAAAGAAAGAAAGAAGAAACTCATGCCAAGGTATTTAAAAATGAACTGATGGAGGGCGCCTGGGTGGCTCAGTCAGTTAAGCGTTCAACTTTGGCTCAGGTCATGATCTCACAGTTTGTGAATTCAAGTTCTGCACTGGGCTTGCTGCTGTCAGCACAGAGCCCTCTTCAGATCCTCTGTCTCCCTCTCTCTCTTCCCCTCCCTGACTTGCACAAGCTCTCTCTCTCTTTCAAAAATAAACTTCGGCGGGGGGGAAAGAAGTGAACTGATGTGATATCTGCAACATCTTACTTTCAAATGGCTCAGGAAAAAAAAGAAGTGTGTATGTGGTACAATACTAAAAATTGATGGTGGAAGGCACGCTAGTGTTTATCACATTATTCTTTTGACTTCTCTACAGTCTTCAAGATTTTCAAAGTAAAAGGTTGGGGACAAAGTGGACGTTAAAATTTCCAAAAAATATGTCAAATCCTTTGTACACCAAACCCGTAATAGTGCCTATCTTGACTGAGGCATTCTTTTTTTGCCCTTTTTCTTGTTGTGGTTTTTTTGTATCGTCCAACTAGTCTACATTAATATGTATTGTTTTTGTAATCATGTAAGACTTTTATTCTATTTATTCTTATTTAAAATTTATTTTTAATAATAAAATAAAGATTAAAACAATAAAATAAATTTATTTTAAAGCTACATATCTATTTTTAAAGGCCACAGCAAGGACTCTTCCTTCTGCCCCAGTGGCCTCTCTCACCAAACTCCCTGCTCTGTTGCCCCAAACCCAGAGCCAGCCAAGCAAGCTCCCTACATACCATATTTCTTGCCTGTGCTCCCATGCGTATCACTAGTTCCATAACCTTCCTCCCCACAAACACTTCCCTCATAAGCTACTGCCCACACAAAACATACTC